CCGCCGTATTCATCAGACATTGCCCCTTCAGACTATCATTTGTTCCGGTCGATGCAGTCGGCACTTACTGCAGAGCGCTTCACCTCATATGACAGCATACAAAAATGGGTCGATAACTGGATCGCCTCGAAAGAAATAGAATTCTTCACTCGAGGAATCCGTTTATTGTCCGGAAGATGGGCGAAGGTTGTCGCTTCAGATGGAAAATATTTTGAATAAAATCATTTAATATTTTCATATTCAAACTATGTTTTTTATCTATATAAAAAACGATTAAAACTTATTCCCATACCCAATATATATTCTTTAAACTTTTAATATACAGGGTGTCTCATAACTAACCTGGCAGAGCTCGTGGAGACATAGAGCGGGTTAAGACAAATATAAAAGTCCCATACCGTTTTGTGAGATTCGCAATAATTATCGAGTTATTAATGACAGAAATTAGAGGAATGAGCGCGCACCGAAACGTTATGGGAGGAGCATCTAGCCGCTCAGGCTAGAGAGCACTGCCCAGTCGACAAAGGAACTGTTGCCGGCGCGCGGCGAGGGGAAGGACAACGCGCCAATGTTTATGTCCTTACCTCGCCGCTCCTACATCCCGCCGCACCGCGTCTATGCTCGCGCCGAAATGGCCGCTGAATATTCGCGATTACAATTACGAGATTATTTTATGAGGTACCACAGACAGCTCATATTGAATTATAAAGTTCAAGGTTCAAAAGTTCTTTGATCAAGGAAAACATCGAAAAGGAGAAAGCGATAGAGAGCGATGAGATCTACAGAAATTCTCATTGTTTTCTATCGCAATCTATCGTTTTGCTGCATCGGATCCGAAAGAAATGATATCGCGTAAAGACAGAGTACGATGAACACTTTTCATCGTACTCTATTGTACTCTATCGTTAGGAGAATATTTAATTGATAGAGTATGATATCGTTAGATATTGTTAGAGTATGAATTCGCGTAGAGACTCATCGTGTCCTATCGTTTTATTCAAGTCTACACGGAAAATATGTTTGGTTGAATGAACCAATTTTCTGACGAAATGAGAGAGAGAGAGAGAGAGAGAGAGAGAACGATTAAGAAATTTCGATTGAAAATAGCACAATTTTGTTTAAGTTAACCATAAACCTTGATGAATTAGACTCAGTGTTAATATTTTCAGTTAATATTTCTCTGTATCGTTCATATTTCATTTGCAAGCTGTATCATGGACCAAACATTTTTATCATATATCGTGCATAAATTGTTGTCTTATATCGTAATTCTTGTCAGTGGTATATTAACGACAGAAGAAACTGGAAATTCTGTATCGTACAATTGCGAAAAGAGGACCATCGTTGTCAATGGTGCACCAACGATACTCGGCATAAAATTGATTCCTAGGTATAATCGCGATACAACGCAAATCCGAGTGTGTTATTTTGACACGCATAAATGTATGATTGATTGACGCTTTCTTTACACGTTTCTTGTCGTTGAATCGTGCAAAAAAAACATTTTATAGTTAAATATTTCATGCATCTCCCTAATTTTTTAATAAGATACCAAAGGAGAACATAAAGAATCAATCGTTAATTCACAATTCCTAAAGTAAGAAATGACACGAAACGACAAGAAAATCCGATGCGATAAATAATAAACTTCCGAAAGGGCAATTATTTTATTTATTTTATTAAAAAATTAGGGAGATGCGTGAAATATTTAACTATAAAATGTTTTTTTTGCACGATTCAACGACAAGAAACGTGTAAAGAAAGCGTCAATCAATCATACATTTATGCGTGTCAAAATAACACACTCGGATTTGCGTTGTATCGCGATTATACCTAGGAATCAATTTTATGCCGAGTATCGTTGGTGCACCATTGACAACGATGGTCCTCTTTTCGCAATTGTACGATACAGAATTTCCAGTTTCTTCTGTCGTTAATATACCACTGACAAGAATTACGATATAAGACAACAATTTATGCACGATATATAATAAAAATGTTTGGTCCATGATACAGCTTGCAAATGAAATATGAACGATACAGAGAAATATTAACTGAAAATATTAACACTGAGTCTAATTCATCAAGGTTTATGGTTAACTTAAACAAAATTGTGCTATTTTCAATCGAAATTTCTTAATCGTTCTCTCTCTCTCTCTCTCTCTCTCTCTCATTTCGTCAGAAAATTGGTTCATTCAACCAAACATATTTTCCGTGTAGACTTGAATAAAACGATAGGACACGATGAGTCTCTACGCGAATTCATACTCTAACAATATCTAACGATATCATACTCTAACAATTAAATATTCTCCTAACGATAGAGTACAATAGAGTACGATGAAAAGTGTTCATCGTACTCTGTCTTTACGCGATATCATTTCTTTCGGATCCGATGCAGCAAAACGATAGATTGCGATAGAAAACAATGAGAATTTCTGTAGATCTCATCGCTCTCTATCGCTTTCTCCTTTTCGATGTTTTCCTTGATCAAAGAACTTTTGAACCTTGAACTTTATAATTCAATATGAGCTGTCTGTGGTACCTCATAAAATAATCTCGTAATTGTAATCGCGAATATTCAGCGGCCATTTCGGCGCGAGCATAGACGCGGTGCGGCGGGATGTAGGAGCGGCGAGGTAAGGACATAAACATCGGCGCGTTGTCCTTCCCCTCGCCGCGCGCCGGCAACAGTTCCTTTGTCGACTGGGCAGTGCTCTCTAGCCTGAGCGGCTAGATGCTCCTCCCATAACGTTTCGGTGCGCGCTCATTCCTCTAATTTCTGTCATTAATAACTCGATAATTATTGCGAATCTCACAAAACGGTATGGGACTTTTATATTTGTCTTAACCCGCTCTATGTCTCCACGAGCTCTGCCAGGTTAGTTATGAGACACTCTGTATATTATACATCTTAAAATTAATATTACATGGGACTTATCACAGCTTCAAAATTAATACGATTAGCTGTCAAAAATATTTCCATCTTTTGAAAGTTTTCTTTTGTCTTTAGAGGAATATTTGGAATATTAGAAGATATAGACATAGACATAGACTTGGCACGATCTGGGTTGACAGACCGCATAATGATTGTCTGATTAATCAACACTGAATCCAACTTTTTGCTTAGCTCCAGAAGTACTGTGCTATTCAGCATAATTTCATTATGACATTGTTTGCATCTAAAATTACCTGACCTGACATAAAACAAAACATATTCATTGAAAACGTGAAAAGAACATCAAAACCATAACTACCTAAAATGTAAAATATCTTTGATTGTTGAAATTGAAATACCTTTGAACTTGAAAGAGTAAGGCTCTAGTTGCGTTTTTGTCTGTTCCTCACTTTATTTGTTAAGTGAAATTTCATTATGATTAGTCTCTGAATCCGGCGATGAATAAAAACATGCTTCAAATCTTGTGCCACTGTCGCCTTCGTGACAGACTTCCTAACCTAAATTGTCATCAACTTTAACAATTTATATCTCGCTCCACAAAGTAGAGCGATGATTTTTTCAAATAGGAAAGTTGTTTTTCTTGCAAAAACGCGTCGATTAAATATTTTTTCGTCGATATCGGAGGTGAGGAGGGTATTCTGTATAATTACCTATTTCATAATAAATTAAATAGTAACAATGTCACTATTCACTTACCATGTGGAGAATATCAATTAACGTAATTTAACCTCAATAACTTACAATAGACTATCAAATAAAAATATGTTGTATGGAAAATAAATAATATATATATTCATATATACTTACTAAAGACAAGTCATACCCAGCAAACAATTTGGTAGCAAATTGTCGCCAAATTGGCACCAAAATTGTACAAAGTTTGCTGTTAAATCCGGTGCCATCTGTGTCCTCAATAGCATCAGAATTTGTTAGCAAAGCTTGTATACATATTCTGATGCCAAATTGAGGCCAAATAATGAGCAAGGCTTACTGACAAAACTATATAGAAAACTGGCGCCAAATAATGAGCAAGACTGGCTGACAAAACTCCACAGCAAATTGGCGCCAAGACCCCAGCAAGGCTTACGAACAAAACATCACACCAAATTGTCACCAAATACCGAGGAAACTTCGGCGATAATACTCCACAGCAAATTGACGCCAAATACAGAGCAAAGCTTGGCGATAAAACCCTACAGCAAATTGATGCCAAATACCGAGCAAAGCTTGGCGACAAAACCTTGCAGCAAGTTGACGTCAAATACCGAGCAAAGCTTAGTGACAAAATTCCACAGCAAATTGGCGCCAAATATCGAGCAGATTCTGCCATATTCATTTATTACACCCCTCCCACTTCAACCAGGTAGGTTAGGTTTAAGTAAAGCAAGGAGTACAGATTTTGGCCAAGTGTATAATGTACAATGCAAAAGCAAATGAATTTATTAGAATCATTCATTGTTTACGTACAGCTGGAAATGACTTCTGATAATGCATTTGCTTGTCAATTATATATTATGCACGAATCTGTATTCCCCGCTTAATTATTAAGTAAAATCAAATATGTTAATAAATTTTTATTAATATTTTACAAATTTATTATACTTAATGATTTATTATTATTGTAACAATTTTTTTTAATTTGTTTCAATGTCGAAAATACACTAAAATATAAGGCTAATATTACATCTGTCGCACGATCACGATTGTCGTACAATCTTTTCGAATACGTTGATTAGTTAACAAACAATATTTCTAGGATTGCTCCGCGCACGCCAATCAATGTATCCGAAAAGCTTGTCGTACGATACATGTAATATTAGCCTAAGTTGGCACTAAAAAGTACCGATCCAGATATTGGCATTCAAAAATGTCTTTTATTGCACTGAGGTGTTCCCGTTATGTTTTAAAAATAGGCGCTGACAAGTACCGATTTACTTCTCTCTCTTGGAGAAGAGAACGTGTGGTATGTGCTTGCGTGTGTGTGTGTGTGTACGCGTGTGTGTGCGTGCATGTTGCACCCTCCTCTCTCTCTCTCTCTCTCTCCCTCTCCCCCTCTCTCTCTCGCTCTCCCTCTCCCTCTCCCTCTCTCTCTCTCTCGATCTCCTGCGACCGTGAGTGTTGTCTTCGACCTCATCCTCGTCCCATGCATCTGTAAATTTAGAAATTTTTTATATTTTTTAATATATATGACGGACGCGATTAATAGATGAGGTCAAATAACATACAGGGAACGAAAATGAAAAATTGAAGAACATATAACTTTACTACCAGTAATCAGTGAGGAATGATCCCTGCTGTAAATGCTTTGCTACATTTCTCTCTTACATGACCCTATTTCTGTATTATTTCATGAATGTAGGCATTTTTCAGTGATATTCAATATATACATATTAAACAACATACCGTGAAATGTATTGAATATTACAGGAAACTGTATACATTGGCTGCGTTCAGAAGAATAAAATGATCAGTGAACGGTTTAGTGATTCTCGCTCCTGATTGGCAAATACTTCTGGGCCTATGAAAAATATAAAAGAATGCTCCAGTCACAGACAAAATAATCACTAAGCGCTCACTGATCACTTTGTTCTGCTGAACGCAGCCATTAACGAAATAATATTGAAATTGCGTCATATGTGAGGGAGAAATTCAGCTAAATATTTCCAGCAGATGTATCACTCCTCACTGTTCAGATACCACACAATATTTACAAGATATTTTAAAAACATAAATGTTGGATATATTATAAATATTCCAATGTTTGAGATTTTCAACTATGGAAAAAATATGATAAATATCTAAAAATATTTATGATATTGTTCATACATCTTTTATAAATCGGAATTCTTTTTATAAACATACGTATGACAAACATGTTTAGATATTTACCATACCCTTTTCATGCCTGAAAATGTCGGACATTAGAATATTTACGAAATATTCAACATCTATATTTTCACAATATCTTGTAAATATTGCGTGTTTATTCAACAGTGCTATATACCTTATGTCGGGTCTTGCTGGTCCTGCTCCTCTTCCTCGTCTGCACGCTCGTCGCTCCATAAGTCGCGCTGTATCCTTGGGCCGGCTGCCGTTCTACGTTGATTATGTCCTCTGTGGCGGTGTCGTTCCTTCGCTGTCCGAAGAGCGTCTTGCATCTGTATTTGGAACTCTGAACGTTGAGGCCACTGAGGCCATCTTCCTGTGAAGAAAGGGTAAAAAGATAATTTTATAAATCATTTTGTCAGTATATAGTACATACTCACGTAAGTCTCTTTTCCATGCGCTCCCAACGATCGTTGTTTTCCCTGTGCACAAAAATAACGTTTTTATAAATGTTCTTTTACAATTTTCGTTACTGTTATATTTTTAAATACGCACAAAGACATACTGATTGTCCGCCTTCTGTGTTATTCGTGCATGTTGGCCATAAGATAGCCGCTCTTCATATTGCTCGTAAGATAGACGCTCCTGATGGAACCTGATGCTGCGTGTGCCCCTGCGTTGTCCATGGGCGCGAAGTACCCTGCAACTCAGTATATATATCATTAGTGTAGTACAAGTGTTCATTTTCGTGAGGTGTACATGTAGTGTGAGAAGTATGAATCGGTGTGTCTTGTGCTGGGTGGACAGATGCTGTGGGAGTAATGTGTGTGAAATTATATGCGTGTGTGCGCGATGATATGTTTTGTGTAGTATTAGTAAATAAATATATATCGTTGTTTGCATTCTTGTCCAGGGTGGCCCGTATATCTCTGATGTCCTCTTCGATGCTTCCTGCCGTGGTGTTTGGCACAGATGCAGCCCGTTTGCATACTGGAGGAGCCTCGTCTGATGATGTCTGGTAGCTTGTTGGCTTTGTAATTATACGCTTTGGTCGTTCTTCCATCTGTAAGTAAAACTATGTGCCTGTATCAAATGATAACGACATAATCTTATGTAATTGTCTTACCATTGCCCTTTTATTTAGAAAGTGGTGATTATATATGTCCTTCTCAAAGGACTTTTTTATATTTGCTGTTAACACTTGTCGCGAAAAAGAGGTTAAGAATATGAATACTTGAATAGGTAAAACAGATATTATTCACATACACAATATTTGTACACGAGGATATAAAATTACTTTTCACAAGATACCGAAAAGCAAAACATAAGTGTATGAATTATGCGAAAAAGGAATTCCAGCCGCAAAACGACGTTGCTTTCAAGAACATTTCAATGGCTTCAACGTTCCGAGTTCTAAATACAGATTAGAGATGTTTATCGATATTCGAAATTATCAAATAATCGATATACAAATATCGAATAGAAAATATATGAATAAAAATCGAATAAATATATTTTTCAGCGAATATTTATTGAATATTTTTTTAAAAGTGATTTTTTTAATGGGTGCTTTCCATTTAGTGACACAAGTCGACTTAAGTCGACTTATAGTGTCATTTCTGCTTTCCATTTAATTTGTGTCGCAATGTGTTGGTTACTTAAGTCGACTTGGAATAACTCTGCCTTTGCTGAGGGTTGAGCGAAGTTGCCAATATAGACGAAGAAAAAAGTCCTAGAGTACAATAAATATGTAAAATCACTATAGTCTTGATTATACCGACATTGTATATTAATCGTGTATCAACCGAAAAGAAAAATATATTCATATAATAATGGCAATAAAGGTATGTAAAACAAATATTTGTTTCATAATTATTTGTAATGCTTTTTTAATATTATATTTGTTTTGTATAAAATATATTATTTAGAATAGTGATAACAGCAAAATTGAATTATTGAAATACTCGGTAAAAGTATATCAATGTAAGTTATTTATTTCTAATTGAGTATTTTTTGGTTTTGTAATATTATAGATTATTTCAATGAAGGACTTGTAAGCATTGCAAACTGCAGGAAAAATTGTTTTCAAGAATATTGATAAAAATAGTACAAATTGTAATAATGTACAACAAAAAGCGGATTCTATCAATCTGTCCCAAGAAAATAGTTATATTAATGGACAGCAAATACAAAGAAGGCCGTATGCAACAATTTTACAGCAAGAATTGCAGGAGTGTAAATTTATATGGACTAAGCAAGCTACTTTTGCTCTTCTGTCTGCTTATGAAGCTCGAAATATTGAAGTGGATAATACAAAAAAAATAAAAGATTTTGGCAATCTATAGCTACTGACCTTAATGAATTCTCATTATCTAATGCACTAGTAAGTTTATAAAACATTATATTATATTATATTTATATTATATTTATTTATTACATTATATTATATTTATTACACATGTACTATATGTATTTTTTAACTCATCTCTGCAGTTAACAGGTGACCAAGTTAGATGGAAATTTAGTGCGTTAAAAAATCATATAATAAAAATAAAGATCACAATTGTAGAAGTGGAAATGCTCCAAAGATGTTTGATGAATTCGAAAAGCGATTAATGGATATTTTAGGTGATATACATGGTAATATCAATAAAGAAAATTGCTTTAACTCACCAATATTGGAGCATAGTGTATCCAATCAATCTGAAACGCAAAATATAAGTGAAGTAGTCAGTAATGAATTAGAAAATGTCAGCATGGAAGAAGAAAAGAGTAGTAACGAAAAATATACAGAAAGAAAAACAGTACGAAAGAAAAGACCACATGGAACAGGTTCACAAATAGCTCGTTCAAAAGTAGAATTAGAACACCAATGGCTACAACATCTTCAACTTATGCAACAAAAATATGAAGATAGGAAAAATTTTGATGAAATGGAATCTAAAAGAAAAACGGAAGAACTTGAATTAAAGAGAGAAAAGATACATTTGAAAAAGAAGATAATGTTATTCGAGAGCAAAGATTAAGGCAAAAGATAGAGCTACATCGAGAGAAAATGTCTATTGAAAAAGAAAAATGTGATATATTAAGAAATATTATTCAATCTCGAAGCAGTATTTTCTAAACCAAATATTCAAGAACAGTGATATTTTTTATTTACTTGTAATAATATTTAATTATACTTATAGAAGCAAGTAAAATGTTTTGAAAACATTCGAACAAAAAAAATTTTTTTAAGAATAGTACAGAAAGATAATTTAAAAGTTCCCAAACAGCACTAAATCTCAAGGAACGTCTTCAGGACGTCTTAAGAACGTTCTTAGAACGTAGAGACGTCTTCAGGATGTCTTTAGAATGTCCTTGGAGATCTATGCTGTATGGGTTATTAATAAAAACGTAACAGTTCTTATTTAGTTGAAAATGTTTGCTATTCAACACAGTGCAATAATTGCACGTATGTGTGCGAAAATAATTTTGATAAAGCTAAATGAATAGATAAAAAGTATTCTTTTATATTATTAAGATTTTGTTTAATGTGATTAAAGAATTTAAAATTAGTTTCGTTTAGAAAAATTTATGTATTTATATTAATTATAACTATTCCAACGTTGGAAATATTTATTAAAGAATTATAATAATTAAGTTTAAAATAATTTTAAGGTGCTGACAAGACTGAAATTTTGTGTTGATTATGTTCACTTTCGATAATTGCTTTAAAATATTATTTAGACATGTACAAAGTACAAAATATATATTATTATTTATAAGTTTACTGATTACAAAATAAATATTAAAATAAAATAAACTAATATAAACTTTAAGTTGTATGAAAGTCAAAAGAGTTGCTCATTCAATATGTTATATTTTATTACAAAATAATTTTAAGTTCTTATATAAAATAAAATATTATTAGATAAATATTTTTCCTTATTGTTTTTAAGTTACACACAATCTCCCTTTTTAACGTACATTTCCTCATTATTATGTCATGTGAATTTTACGGTCATTTATTGATTGTTAGAGCAAAAGGAAAATGTTCGGAATATTTTAGAGGTGTGCTTAATCGATTACAAGTGCCATTTTGTGAATATATCTTTTTATTTTTGTTATTGTACTCATTTACTTTTAAACAATCATATCATATAAATTAATCTAAGCAAATATTTCAAGGAAACATTTCTCTAAATAACAAAGTTCGACGATCCAAATTTTCTCCGTATAACATTTCCTCTCTTTCATCATAATTTTGTATCGGATTAAGTTCTGCAACGAGATCTTCATCATAAAAATCATCGCCATTATCTCCACTATCTAAATATATATTATGAAGTACACAACAGCTTACTATAATCTGAGTCATAAAAGGGATATCACGTAACGGTAATTTGTGTAATTGTCGAAATCGACCTTTTAAAATACCAAAAGCTTTTTCAACAACTACTCGAGTTACAGATATTTTCCTATTAAACGTTTCTTGCTCAATCGTAAGATTACCATTATCTCTGAAAGGACTGACAATCCATTTTTCTGCTACTCCGTTATAACCTTTATCTCCTAATAAAAACGTATTATTTGGAAAAATATTTTCTCTTTCTTGTTCAGCAAAATAAAAAAGTTCTGATCTTCTTAACATTCGAACATCATGATACGATCCCGGATCACCACAATATGCGCTAATAAATCTAGTGTTACAATCACTAACAGCCTGTAAAAGAATTGAATAATACTGTTTTCTGTTAAAATATATTCTACTATTTTCCTCGGGTTTATTTATAAATATGCGAGCCATCTATTGCTCCAACGCAGTTCCGAATTCCAGCTACTTCTTCAAATCCACGAGATATTCGTATTATATGATTTCCTTTAGGCCATGTAATGACATCAGGAACCAAAGTTATTAGCCAATTTATAACTCGACGTATGATGCGAAATACAGATGACAATGATATATCAAAGAGATTAGACAGGGTTCGATGTGGTTCTTTGTTACTTAAAAACCAGAGAGTCATCAGCAGACATAATTCCGCAGGTTTTTTTTCTTTCCCAAATTCATGTGTTGGTATAAATCCGCTAGTCTCTAAAGATTCTGAAAATATCAAATAATGAAAATTATTTTATATTACTTTATTATGAATACATTATAAAACCATTATAATATTATGAATAATAATTACCTAATAACATGTATACAGTTGGACGACTTAATCTGAAATCTTCTCTAAATTCAACATTATTTTTTGCATGCACTACGTTAAGAAAATTCTGCACATGCTCTCTTCTACGACCGTTTAATAATAACTGAAGAAGAGGAAACAGTAAATCTTCTTGAAACCAATCATTTTCTAAAAATTGATTTTGGTCTTCATCTGTAGAAACACTACTATTACTGATAGCATCATTATTATAATGACTGCTGCTGCTACTTTCATTGTTTTCCAACAAGAAATTAATTGCGTTAGGCAAATTATCTTCTTCCATCTATCACAGAAAATTCCATCTATTAGTTATATGCACACATAACCTCTTCAATCAACAGTAGTAAATCCCAGCAAACACAATATAACATACCTATTAGTTGTAATTTCTTATTCAATAATATAACCGTTTTATAATATATATGTTACATAAGTATTGTAGGAAATTATAACAAATAAATATGTTACATGTTTGGGTCGCCGGCTGTAGCGTGACCACCACACATGTTACATTTGTTTGTGTAATATGTATCATATATATATATATATATATATATATATGTGTGTATAGGTTTAATATTTTTACATGATATAATTAAAATTTGAATATACCTTTATATTTATGTCTTATAATAAATTTTATATTACTTATTATAATCTTCCCCAAAACAAATAATGAATGACTGTGTTTGTATTTCGCGCAACAACTTCTACGCATCGCAAATGCTTTCCATTTATCACATTGAAGTTACCGACTCCAACTAATTCAAGTCGACACAAGTTTCAACAGAAGTGATATAAATGGAAAGCACCCAATATAAAGCTAAAGTCAGTAGCACACGGTGCTTGTTTTCATGCTAGTTTTAGTGACATACTAGAAATGTTACATTCTGATTGGCTGCGTTCAGCAGAACAAAGTGATTAGTGAGCACTTAGTGATTCTCGCTCCTGATTGGTAAATACTCCTGGGTCTATGAAGGATCTAAAAGAATGCTTCAGTCACAGACAATCACTAAGCGCTCACTGATCATTTTGTTCTGCTGAACGCAGCCAATATTACATATAACATGTATGTTAGTAATAATTTCCTACTCAACAATAACAGTTATATTGTTGAGTAGAAAATTACAACTAACATGCACGTTACATGTAATATTAGGCCTGTTCGTTTTGTCTGCACTGTTGAACTGGTGCAACAAGTTGAAGTGAGAAAACCTATGTTTGTCTCACTTTAACTTAATGCATCAGTTCAGCAGTGCAGACAAAACGAACAGGCTTATTGTGTTTGCTGGGTTCTTATTGGCTACCGAATTATTCGACATTTATTCGATATTTTGACTACTTATTCGATATCGATATGAGTACTTTTAAATTTGGCGAATGTATTCAAATGCGATATTTTTTTCCGATATCGACATCTCTAATACAGATGCAAGACGCTCTTCGGACAGCGAAGGAACGACACCGCCACAGAGGACATAATCAACGTAGAACGGCAGCCGGCCCAAGGATACAGCGCGACTTATGGAGCGACGAGCGTGCAGACGAGGAAGAGGAGCAGGACCAGCAAGACCCGACATAAGGTATATAGCACTGTTGAATAAACACGCAATATTTACAAGATATTGTGAAAATATAGATGTTGAATATTTCGTAAATATTCTAATGTCCGACATTTTCAGGCATGAAAAGGGTATGGTAAATATCTAAACATGTTTGTCATACGTATGTTTATAAAAAGAATTCCGATTTATAAAAGATGTATGAACAATATCATAAATATTTTTAGATATTTATCATATTTTTTCCATAGTTGAAAATCTCAAACATTGGAATATTTATAATATATCCAACATTTATGTTTTTAAAATATCTTGTAAATATTGTGTGGTATCTGAACAGTGAGGAGTGATACATCTGCTGGAAATATTTAGCTGAATTTCTCCCTCACATATGACGCAATTTCAATATTATTTCGTTAATGGCTGCGTTCAGCAGAACAAAGTGATCAGTGAGCGCTTAGTGATTATTTTGTCTGTGACTGGAGCATTCTTTTATATTTTTCATAGGCCCAGAAGTATTTGCCAATCAGGAGCGAGAATCACTAAACCGTTCACTGATCATTTTATTCTTCTGAACGCAGCCAATGTATACAGTTTCCTGTAATATTCAATACATTTCACGGTATGTTGTTTAATATGTATATATTGAATATCACTGAAAAATGCCTACATTCATGAAATAATACAGAAATAGGGTCATGTAAGAGAGAAATGTAGCAAAGCATTTACAGCAGGGATCATTCCTCACTGATTACTGGTAGTAAAGTTATATGTTCTTCAATTTTTCATTTTCGTTCCCTGTATGTTATTTGACCTCATCTATTAATCGCGTCCGTCATATATATTAAAAAATATAAAAAATTTCTAAATTTACAGATGCATGGGACGAGGATGAGGTCGAAGACAACACTCACGGTCGCAGGAGATCGAGAGAGAGAGAGAGGGAGAGGGAGAGGGAGAGCGAGAGAGAGAGGGGGAGAGGGAGAGAGAGAGAAAGAGAGAGAGAGAGGAGGGTGCAACATGCACGCACACACACACGCGTACACACACACACACACGCAAGCACATACCACACGTTCTCTTCTCCAAGAGAGAGAAATAAATCGGTACTTGTCAGCGCCTATTTTTAAAACATAACGGGAACACCTCAGTGCAATAAAAGACATTTTTGAATGCCAATATCTGGATCGGTACTTTTTAGTGCCAACTTAGGCTAATATTACATGTATCGTACGACAAGCTTTTCGGATACATTGATTGGCGTGCGCGGAGCAATCCTAGAAATATTGTTTGTTAACTAATCAACGTATTCGAAAAGATTGTACGACAATCGTGATCGTGCGACAGATGTAATATTAGCCTTATATTTTAGTGTATTTTCGACATTGAAACAAATTAAAAAAAATTGTTACAATAATAATAAATCATTAAGTATAATAAATTTGTAAAATATTAATAAAAATTTATTAACATATTTGATTTTACTTAATAATTAAGCGGGGAATACAGATTCGTGCATAATATATAATTGACAAGCAAATGCATTATCAGAAGTCATTTCCAGCTGTACGTAAACAATGAATGATTCTAATAAATTCATTTGCTTTTGCATTGTACATTATACACTTGGCCAAAATCTGTACTCCTTGCTTTACTTGAACCTAACCTACTTGGTTGAAGTGGGAGGGGGGTAATAAATAAATATGGCAGAATCTGCTCGATATTTGGCGCCAATTTGCTGTGGAATTTTGTCACTAAGCTTTGCTCGGTATTTGACGTCAACTTGCTGCAAGGTTTTGTCGCCAAGCTTTGCTCGGTATTTGGCGTCAATTTGCTGTGGAGTATTGTCGCCGAAGTTTGCTCGGTATTTGGTGACAATTTGGTGTGATGTTTTGTCCGCAAGCCTTGCTGGGATCTTGGCGCTAAAGTTTGCTCGTTATTTGGCATTAATTTGGCATCAATGAGGCGTATCCAAGGTGTGCTCGATGTTTGACGCCAATTTGCTGTCAATTTTGGTAGCAAGCGTTGCGTGTTACTTGGCGTCAATTTGGTATCATGTTATGTGCGCAAACTTTGCTACATAAATGCTACCAATTTATGGACATTCTTTGATAAAACAAGGTTTATTCCAAATTTGTTCTAAATTTACCAACAAATCTTGTAAGCAAATCTTTGGCTTTATTTGGCAGAACAGATTTGGCTATCTGGGTGTATATAAAAGCGATATTGTATCAATAATATAATATAATTATATTATTATGAATAAAATTAATCAACAATAAAACTAATTATGTATTTATTTTAATTCCGTTCTTAAAAACATATGCACACGTATGCATAGCGCGCGTGCACACACACACACATTTATTAATTTTAGCTTATTTCTGGGGTTTTTTGGAGAAGCATTTGACGGATTTTAAAATTCAGAGTTGGCAACACTGATTGGCAGTGGATATCGTAACGTAGCCTAAAACCAAAGTTTCCGAACTGATTTTGGAATAAGTTTTATCTCATTCTTTAATCAAAGTTAATATAAAAGTTTTTATATTATATTTATTTTTTCTCCAGGTTTTGTTTCAATTTGGTTTAACTGAGTTGCTTGGTAAGTAAATTATTCCAAAGTAATCCAAATGTTTGACATACACTTTTATTAAAAGTATTTTGTAACCCATAATTTGTAAAAATTACGGATTAAATGATCCATTTGAGACGCTGAAGATAATATGTAGTTACGTCATTAATAACATTAGTAATAATCGTAGTTTATAGCAGATTTGTATTTATATATTAAGTTGGAAATGCATTAGGTTAATCTTTAAAACTAAATTACAGAAGATCGCATTTTTATGCAATATGTTGCAAAAATTGTGTATCACAGTTTTTCCTACTAAGTATATGAACATATCCAAGATTGAGAGCTGGTTGTTCCAACCTCTTGGTAAGTTAACTGATAGTTAAATCATATGTTTATCTTTGTTTTTCCTTCAATTTAAACGAAGACATGATTTAACTAACAGTTAACTTACCAAGGAGTTGGAACAACCTGTCCTTAGATATATTCAAATTAATTGTTACAATTATTACAAGAGTACTTTATATAATATGATGGAAAATATTTGCAAAGCAGTATATAAATATTTCATTGAAAAAAGAATGTTTATTTAAAGAAATATTCAACTTAACTATATGTGCAATTACAAGTTATCAAGCAAATATATATCAATTTACAGAAATGTCATTTAAATGGACTTAATAATTAATTTGAGTGAGAAGAAATATTTAGTTGCCTTAATGATGAGATATATTATATTTAAATATAAATATAGTACAGTATATATAAATCTATTTATTTTACTCAATATGAATATGTTTGAGTCAATGATACATACAATTGAACTCATGAGATAATGGATTCAAGGAAGAATATTTTCGTGAATTATATATAAGATTATATGAAGCATTTATCATTTATTGTAAAATATTTATGTTGATTATGTTGATTGTAAAAAATTTATATTATAAATATTCAGTTAAAGGAAAGAAATATTTGCTCTGTTAGCATATATAATGTTTAATTAAAATTATTTTTCAAAGGAAGAAGGTCAATAAGGTCTGTTTTCAGCCCTCTCCAAAATTAAACCAAAATGAGTGAAATCACTTCCTTAGACCTTTGGAAGTAATATTTAGTTGATTGCCTAAATGGAGGTATTTGGAGCTCTACCAGCATATATATGTATGTATATAGATATATAACCAAATATACTCAATATAAAGGATGAAAAGACTTCAGAATCTGATTTAAAGTACATAAATACATATATGGACACACTATAGTGTTACTCCCTCTCCTCTTCAACCCCTTGACATATATAAGCATGTAAGTATGTGTAGTAAAATCGACGAAATTAGTGAAAATGCATCATAGGAAGTCTTTAATATGAATGATGATTTTAGTATGAATGATGATTTGCTTAGGATTTTTGGGCAAGATACATGTACTTTCCATGACAAAACAGATATATTTGGAACCACAATGGCATACATATATAAAGATGATAGATTTTTAGAAATGTTTCTTAAGGTGGTCGATAATTGAAATCATATTATTTGTTCTTGTTGATTATATCATGAATGATATATATTACGGTATAGCGAAAAAAGTATTTTTTAAAAATAAAAAATGCTTGGGTGTGGAAAATGTACTCCTCGGTGATATTCTATTCTCACAGTTTCATCCTTCTGGCACAATATCTTGTGCTCTAATATTCGCCTCAAAGTTTTGAAATTTGAGCCAGGAAGATATTTCCATAATACACGCTGTGCATGTACACTGAGCCAATACTGCGGGTTCAAACTGTTTACCGCACTTGTATGAACATCTATACAAGTCATAAATGGCATCCAAGTTACATAGAAAACTCGAAAAAACGCTTCATTATACATGTAATTCATGAATTTTAGCTAATACTGATCTGCAGCTCTTAGTTCTTCTTCGAAGGTAAATATTCGAAAAATATCCAGGATCCATTGCAAGGAGATGGCTGTAGTTCAGATCCCACCCATGTCCTACCCAACCATAATGTATTGTACGTCCTGTTTTTGACACTAAGGGCACATCGATTTATGTCCTTGGCTGTTTGCCTTTGGGAAGGAACTCTGATTTGGTAATGAAACGTGGCATTTCATTTCTTGACTGTAATGTGTTCCTTATCATGCCATCTCTGTTAGTAAAGCCACAAACGGAAGAGGATGCTTCAGTAATAAGCTTTACAGTCCTTTCTACAGCTTGTGTATGACATGGGGACTGCCACAACTGTAAAGATTGAAATGCTGTTGGATCGACCACTGCCATCTGTAATTCATCATTCGAGAGATTCTTTAGAAGCGGGGAAAATGTAACTTTAACCTTGTCTCAGTCTATAACATCGACATAGTCTGTTGCTGTTGTGTTTAATTTTGGAATATGGAACTGTCGAAAATTACTGGCATCTTTATTAGCTCTAGCCTGAAGGATTCTTGTAACTGCAAGCTGCCTAATGTGTTGGCGTTCATCGAAGAGCATCGCTATAAGATTTTCTGGATGCAATGAAAATGCATTTTTTTGGATAGTTGTATCAATTTTTGCTCGCACACGAATAGGTAAGTATCGAGAATACTCAATGGCTTTCCAGGTATGTATGCTTGCATGTGCAATGCATATGCCATTGAATAGGAAGGCCATTGAATATTCTCGATACTTACCTATTCATGTGCGAGCAAAAATTGATACAATTATTAAAAAAAATGCATTTTCATTGCATCCAGAAAATCTTATAGCGATGATCTTCGATGAACGCCAAGACATTAGGCAGTTTGCAGTTACAAGAATCCTTCAGGCTAGAGCTAATAAAGATGCCAGTAATTTTCGACAGTTCCATATTCTAAAATTAAACACAACAGCAACAAACTATGTCGATGTTATAGACTGGGACACAGTTAAAGTTACACCTTCCCCACTTCTAAAGAATCTCTCGAATGATGAATTACAGATAGCAGTGGTCGATCCAACAGCATTCCAATCTTTACAGTTGAGGCAGTCCCCATGTCATACATAAGCTGTAAAAAGGACTATAAAACTTGTTACTGAAGCATCCTCTTCCGTTTGTGGCTTTACTAACAGAGATGGTATAATAGATAAGGAACACATTACAGTCAAGAAGTGAAATGCCACGTTTCATTATCAAATCAGAGTACCTTCCCAAAGACAAACAGCCAAGGACATAATAAATCGACGTGCCCTTAGTGTCAAAAACAGGACGTACAATACATTATGGTTGGGTGGTTAGGTGGGGTAGGCCACGGGTGGGATCCGAACTGCAGCCATCTCCTTGCGATGGATCCTGGATATTTTTCGAATATTTACCTTCGAAGAAAAATAAGAGCTGCAGATCAGTATTAGCCAAAATTCATGAATTACACATATAATGAAGCGTTTTTTCGAGTTTTCTATGTAACTTGGATGCCATTTATGACTTGTATAGATGTTCACACAAGTGCGGTAAACAGTTTGAATCCGCGATGTTGACTCAGTGTACACGCACAGCGTAAAATTGCGGAAATGTCTTCCTGACTCAAATTTTAAAACTTTGAGACGAATATTAGAGCATAAGATATTATGCCAGGCGACGAAACTATGAGAAAGGAATATCACTGAGGGTACAACATTTTCCATACCCAAGCATTTTCGATTTCTGGAAAGTACTTTTTTCGCTATACTCTAATATACACTGCTCCAAAGACTTATGGCATAGATAATTTATTGTCTAAAATTAGCCAACTTTGGCGATTATTTGGCGAAAAATTATTGTAGACTAATGATTTTTTTTCAAAATGAAACTTGAATTCTCTACTTTAAGAATGTATCTCCATTTTTTGCATGCGATGCACCCCTACTCCTGTAACCCCAAACATCTGAGGGCATGTTTGGTATATTGAAAATTGCAAAGTTTGGCGGAATGCGCGTACGTAGACAATTTTTTTTCGGGGACGTTGTTTGCATCGTCATAAAGTTCAAATCTTCCCCTTCAATTTGGAAAAAAATGGAGTCGCTACAATTTTTTTTCGCAAAGTTATAGCCCTTCGAAAATATCGTTATTTTTTACCTTTGGGCCAAGTGTGCACGCATATGTGTGTGTCCGTGACAGAAGAGATAAGGACCCCGTTGTTCATCACTTCCACAGTAATTATTGACTCCAAACTCTCTCTTCTGTGCACGTAGGTGCGTGCGCGCATGTGTGTGCGTGTAGGTACGTCTTCAATATTTGGTCTGAAGGTCAAAAACAATGATATTTTTGAATGGCTGTAACTTTGCGAAAAAACATTGTAGTGACTCCATTTTTTTTTTCAAATTAAAGGGCAAGATTTGAACTTTATGACGATGCCAACGGCGTCCCCGAAAAAAAATTGTCCATGTCCGTATATTCCGTCAAACTTTGCAATTTTCAGTATATCAATGCCCTCAGATGTCAGGGGTTACAGGGGTAGGGGTGCATCGCATACAAAAAATGGAGATACATCTTAAAGTAGAAACTTCAAGCTTCATTTTGAAAAACAAATCATTAGTCTACAATAATTTCTCGCTAAGTAATCGCCAATCAAAGTTGACCATAGTTCGGCAATAAATTATCTATGCCATAATTCTTTTGAGCAGTGTATATCCACTGTAAATCCACTGAACCATTGTAGTTCCATATATTCGTTTTGTTATGGAAAGTACATGTATCTTTTCTAAAAATCCTAAACAAATCATCATTTATACTAAAGGCTCTCTCTATGATGCATTTTCATTAGCTTTGTTGATTTTACTACACATACCTATGTGCTTATACATGTCAGGATGCGGAAAAGGAGGAGTAGCATCGTAGTGTGTCTATATATGTATTTATGTACTTTGAATCAGATTCTGAAGTCTTTTCATCCTTTATATAGAGTATATTGTTATATATATATATATATGTATATATATACTGGGTGTTTCAAACTACTCGGGTTACCCGATTTTTTCGTTAACGCGATATTTTAGAGGAAAATGTTTCAGACAGAAGTTGTAGGGCTTCAAAGGAT